CATCCGCCTCACCATCATCATCATCATCATCAGCAGCATCATCATCATCATCAGCATTATCGTCAACATCATCATCAGCATCATCGTCGTCATCAGCATCAGCATCATCAACATCGTCATCCGCATCATCATCAGCATCATCAGCATCAGCATTATCGGCATCACCACCGTCATCATCATTATCATCATCAGCAGCATCAGCATCGTCATCATCGTCATAATCAGTATCGCCAGTATCCTCGTCATCGGCATCGGCATCATCACCATCATCATCATCAGACTCATCATTATCAGTATCAGCAGCAGCATCATCATCAGCATTAGCATCAGCATCAGAATCATCAGCATCAGCATAAGCATCAGCATCAGCATCAACATCATCACCATCATCAGCATCATCAACATCATCAACATCATCAGCATTATCCTCCTCCTCCTCCTCCTTATCCTCATCGTCCTCCTCCTCCTCCGCCTTCTCATCCTCCTCATCATCCTCAGCCTTCTCCTCCTCCTCGCTCTCCTCCTTCTCCCTCACCTCCTCCAATCCTGTTCCACAACATGTATAACCCTGAAAATTCAAATGGCAACAGTTTCACAGATGGTGGGCGCGACGGCTTCGTAATGTGCATATCGTCTTAGCGCCGCCTACATCAATGTTAAATCTTGCACGAGTTTCACGGATGGAGGGCGGATCGGTTACAAAAAGTGGCTCTCGCCTTAGCGCCGCGCTCATCTGCCTTGAGAATATACATCGGCTTCACAGGCGGAGGGCGGATCGTTCTCAAAATGTGTCTCTCCTTGGCGCCGCGCACATATGTTTTGGGCGTCACGGATGGAGGGCAGGTCGTTTATCAGAATCTTGCTCCGCCCTAGCAGCGAACAAATCTGTGTTAAAAATACAAGAGCTTCACGGATGGAAGGCGGGTCGGTTTCAGAATGTAGCTATCGCCATAGCGCCGCGCACATGCGTTTGAAGAGTTTACAATAGTTGAAAGGGTTCCCATGGTTGACATCCAAGAAACGGTGGTTGGGGCACGATACCAGACTGCCAGGGCGCAAGAGTAACGTTGCGTGGTGGCGTTGCAGTTCCAGGGGTGGTTGTCTGGCACGGTTCAGACCGTCAAGACGCAAAAATAACAGTGATCCGCGGCGTTCAAGTGCCCAGAATGGTGGACTGGCACCGTTCAAGATGTTCGAACGATCGTTTTCCAACGGGGTACTTCTTCAGTGAAATAGGATCCGTGTGGGCGGCATATGAAGAGGGAACTTGCAGGGAGGGGTCATTGCAAGATCGGTGAGGAGTCTTCGGTTGACACTGGTCCTCCTCCTCCTGCTCCTGCTCCTCGTCCTCATCTTCCTCCTCGTCCTCCTCCTCCTCCTCGTTCTCCTCCTCCTCGTCCGCCTCCTCCTCTCCTCCTCCTCATCCTCCTCCTCCCTCTTCGGTCTCCTCCTCACCCTCCTCCTACTCTCCTCCTCCTCCTCCTCATCCTCCTCTCTCTTCTCCTCCCTCTCTCTATCTCTCTCTCCATCTCCCTCTCTCTCTCTCTCTCTCTCTCTCTCTCCCTTATATTATATATATATTATATATATATATATATATAGATGTGTCTCTCTCTCTATGTCTCTTTCTTCTTCTCTCTCTCTCTCTCTCTCTCTTCTCTCTCTCTCTTTCTCTCTCTCTCCCCCCTCCCTACTCCTCCTTCGCAGCATCCTCCTCCTCCTCCTCCTCCCTCCTCATCCTTCTCCTCATCCTCTTCCTCCTCCTCCTCCTCATCCTCCTCCTCCTCATCCTCATCCTCCTCCTCGTCCTCGTACTCCTCCTGCCCTTTCTCCTCCTCCTCCTCCTCCTCCTCCTCCTCCTCCTCCTCCTCATCATCATCATCATCATCCTCATCATCAGCATCATCAGCATCAGCATCATCAGTAGCAGCATCAGCATCCGCATTCTCATCATCAGCATGATCAGCACCATCATCATCATCATCCTCATCATCATCATCCTCATCATCATCAGCATCATCAGCATCGTCATCATCATCATCAGCATCATCAGTATCAGTATCATCATCAGCAGCAGCATCATCATTGCACTCCCCATCCTTGTCACCATCATCATCACCGGCATCATCCTCGTCCGCATTAACATCATTGCCCTTTTCATCATCTCACCACCACCGCGGTATCCCATCACCTCATCATCTCATCCTCCCTCCTCCCTGCTCCCTCATCTATCCTACCCCCTTCTCCTCGTCCTCCCTCATCCTGCTGCTGTAGACTTCGGAGTCCACGGAGGCCGCCCTCCTCCTCCTCCTTCCCCTCCTCCCCCTCCTCCCCCTCCTCCTCCTCCTCCTCCTCCTCCTCCTCCTCCTCCTCCTCCTCAACATCATCATCCTCATCATCAGCATCATCATCATCATCATCATCGTCCTCCTCATCCTCCTCATCCTCTTTCTCGTTATGCGAAGTCACGAGATCCGATGAGGTGTCGAGCGAGGGTCCC